AATATCAAAAATACGCTCCACTTGGTGGCCCACCCTCAATAGTGATATAACCGCTCACGCTAACCGTTGTCTGGTTTGCTTACAGCATAATCCTGGTCCACCTGCCAATCGGGCCCTGTTAAAAGGTGCCCCAGAGGGAGAAGGGCCCTGGACACATGTTCAAATTGAGTTTATTGGACCCCTGCCCATTGCACCAGGCAACTACAGATATGCTGATTATTTTAGATCAATTTTTCAAATGGATTGAGGCCTTTCCTGTCAGAGCTGCCACAGTAATTACCGTAGCATGAATACTATTGAGTGAGGGGATCTGCAGGTGGGGAGTACCAATAGTTCTCGATAGCGATCAAGGGAGCCACTTCACCGCAAAGGTTTTTAAAACCCTCACCAAACTAATGGGGATTAAACAGCGGTTACACATAGCGTTTCACCCTCAATCCTCAGGGGTAGTGGAGTGGGGAAACCGGACTATTAAGATGCTATTAAAAAAAATTGTGCAGATCACCCCACCCAATGGGTGCAAATGCTGCCGATGTGTTTAATGGCGCTTAGATCAACCACACATTCAGCCACTGGGTTGACCCCATATCAGGCAATGACAGGGAGAATAATGAGGCTACCGGGTCACTTACTCCAACCACCTACCCCAGGCGTAACTATGGAAGGAAACCCGAACTTACAGGGGGCTTTCAGCGAAGCGTGGGTTGATAAAATGCTTGTAAATATCCAACACACAAATGAATTTGTAGCTAACCATTTGGGAAGAAACAAACAACAAATGAAAAGGTACTCGATCAGAAAGTACGAGAATGTGAGTATAATATTGGGGACACGGTCATGGTGTTGGACTTCAGTAAAAGAGAAATCCCATTCTCACCAAAGTGGAAAGGTCCGTTCCCTATTGTGGACAAGGCCAGCCCCTCAGTATATTTGATCCAATATACGGGAAAAAGGGGAGGCAAAACAGCTAAATGGCATCATATTAACCAATTGAAATCAGTAAAGTAACTGATAAACTAACAGATATATCTTTGATTTTCAGAGAATCGATACACGCTCGAAATAAGGGGAGAATGATCCTATTACTGATAATTACGACTACAATGGGATACTCACATTCCGATATGTTTCCAGCACGGAGGGTCGAAATGACATCATCCATCTTACCGGTTTACGGTACAGATCGCCATCAGCCTTACCAACTGATACAGGTAGAGTTGGGAAGCCATTTAACTCTCACTTGTACCGTCGGTACAGACGGGTACGACACTCCCACTATAATTTTCCAAAGACACGATATGACTCCAAGTAACGGTGTATCTATCGGAAGGTGGGGAGTCCCGATGTTGGGTCCACACAGAGGATACAACAACACGACCTGAGTGAGTGAGACCTGATATTTCCTTACGTTTTTCATCGTCATGAGGGCTATTACAACTGTTCAGTGGAGGATCCAGAAGGAACCTATGCATACGGCCCAGAAATATTGGTTACCATCATCCCGGTCACCTCACAGAACGCATCATGTCCGACTTTAATTACAGGACCAGCAAATGGACTCGTGATTGAACGTTTATACGATGTGTTGTATCCCGATATCGTGAATGAATATGTACTGATCATGTTACATTTTAATCTGTCTTTGCCCGCAGATGTTTGTGACCCCATTTATAGGAACTTTTATAATTTACAGAGGGAAGAAATGTTCTGAGATTTTGTCCAAAGAAATAAGGGTACAGTCTTGGGAGGGGAAATGGGGACAGTAATATCACCTAGGGTAAAAAGGGATGTAGCTGAATGGATGGGCATAGGAGCCACCAGGGTAACAGCTGCCTTTAACCAGCTGGACATCGAAACCCTTATGAGTCACCAGGCCCACCTCCGAAATCAATTAAAAATTATCCTCTCCCAAAAAGGGGAGAACATGGATAATCTTATTAAAGAAACTCTGTTGAGTGTGGATTCCATAATCAGTATCTCCCAAGTTATAGAAGAGATGAACTCTTCGGTTAACTTGTTGATATTGGCCCATAACCAAGAAGTAGAAGAGAAACCTTTTCAAAAAGATATCGCTTGCTCAATACTTATGTCCAGATTCCTAAGCAAATTACAACATTACCTCGATGATCTGGAAGCCAGTAGGCTCCCATCAATGATCACCAGGGAACAGATCTGACGATGGCTTCCCCCCAACATTAATTACGGCCTCAGGCGTATTAGAGAACTGGCGGCCAGCCACCTAGTATACAGCCCCAATCATCGAACTGAAGTGGGGAGATTATTATTGCTACCTGTTATCTTCATCATTCCGCACATTCCCTTAAATCCCCCGCTTTTACGAGTATACGGTGTCACGTCTATTGGCGTAATAGAGGACGGCATTCTGAAAGAACATGTGTCGCATCCCACTATGTTACTTTACAACACCGTAACTAGTTCATGGCATTTAACTGATACATCACTATGCTGTAAATGAGGCAACATTTGGACATGTCCAAGAGGACTGCTCCCAGCCTCAACTACCGCATGCGGATTTACATTAGGAGATAAAGATCCCCTGTGTCCTATCACAGTCACCTCGAAATGGCAAGGTACAAACATTGCATACAAAGGCTGGGGCGAATTTTGTGTCACTATGACCAGCCACTAATGGATCATTGACAGTAATAACATCACTTGTAAGGTGCCCTCGGGAAATTTTTGTTTTACTCCTCTTTTTACGACTATAATTGATAGTAATATTATGCAGCCAATAAGGGAACATAACGTATCGGACATTTTTTCTTGGGCAAAGGAGGGTGAAGATGTCCGTGACCTAGTGTTCCCTTACGGGCACTATATCCCTCCTATATCCCAAAGCCTTGCTGCTATTATCAACAGCTCCCATATTTCACAGGTACACCTTGTTCAATTAAGGCAATCCAATAAAGAAATTGATGAAGCTATTCCGCTCTTGGTAGAAGAGCAACACTGGTGGGAGACGGTTTACTGTATTGGTGTACACCCACTAGCCCGATTCGCCTCATATATTTTTATCATTGTTCAAATAATACTTACCATTTCAGTCATATTGGCAATATTGCGACTACGCACGTCACAAAATGAATTACCTGCCAACAATGGGGATGCTCGTTGAGGAATAGTGGGTTTAAGTTCAACACCATGGAATGAGAGATCATAAATTGAAATTTTCTCACTCTCAAGGTGGGGACTGTTGGGATATACGGATTCCCCTATAATGATTTAGAACAGAACAAGTTTTTATATATATATTCATTTTAAGAGATGTTTAATTAATTGTACTAACAGGTCAAAATGGCAGACAAATTAGCTTTCTTACTAATGGAATGTGGCACAGGCTGGAACCATGGTACCTGTTATCTCCCCTCTCTCCAGGTGCACTTTGCTAAGTGTTATTGTAAACTTGGGTACCAGCTAGACTTGGAGGAAAGGTCTGCAAAACATCATGTGTTAGGTCTAGGAAGATAAGGAATAGACAAGACAATGGAGACTCACTTTATCAATACCGGTCGGGCTGACGCCAGGCCAATGATTGATTAGGATGAGTACGTGCAGGACGAGTGGTAAGTGGGGTAAAGGTAGCTGGCAAGAGTTCAGAAAGGTGTATAGTTAGTGAAGAGAAAGAGAGAGAAGTCAGTTGGCCTGACTGGCAGGAGGGAAGCAAGGTTTTTCACACCAGACAAACCAGGGCAAGAGTGGGACGACAGCCAAGAAATCTTCTTCCACTTTTTTTCTACGCAGATTAACTGGTAGTATGCTCTTCTTTACACACTGTTAAGCCCACTGTCTTATAATAAAAGAATTATTGCACCATTTTGGATTGTCGGGTCATATTTCGAACTACGGGATCGGAAATCTCAACAACACCTCCACACACCCCCCCACCACATCTCCCACCACACACACCCCCCCACCATACACACATCCCACCACCACACCACCCCCACTACACACACACCTCCACCACACACACCTCCCCACAGCACCCCGCCCCACCACACCCCCCCGCTACACACACACCCACCACACACACCGCCCCACAGCACCCCACCCCACCACACCCCCCCGCTACACACACACCCACCACACACACCGCCCCACCACACACACCCGCCCCATAACACACACCCTACCACACCCTCCACCTGCTCACCACACACACTCCTGCACACCACACACGCGCACGCTGCCCACCACACACGCGCGCCGCCCACCACATACACGCACGTGCCACCCATCACCCACATACACACCACCACCACACACACACCACCACCACCACGCACAGCACCACCCCACACCCCCCACACCAACGCCACAAACCCACCACACACAGCACACCCCCCCACCACACAGCCCTCACCCACCACACACAACCCCACCCCACACACACCCTCACCCCACACACACTCCCAACCCACACACACCCCCACCATACACACACCCTCCACTACACACACACCCCGCCCACCACACACCCCCCCATCACACACACCGCCACCACCGAAACCTGCCATATATACACACCACCACCACACAAACCCCACCACACACATACACACACCCACCCACACTACACCACAACACACACAACCCCACCACACACACAACCCTCCCATACACACCCCACCAAACACACCTCCCCACAACACCCCGCCCCACCACACACCTCCCATAACACACACACCACCACACACCCCCACCCGCCCAGGACACACACTTCCCTGCCCACCACCACACACACAACCCCACCACCACATGCAACCCCGCCCATCACAATGTGCGCCCCCCCACCCACAATGCGCGCCCTCCAATCTGCATTGACCTCAAAACTTTTCTTTAAAATTAGTGAAATGACAGTGTGCTTTTCAAATCTTGTTTTGCTTTAATCAAGTTGCTTAGATAAAAACCCAAAATGTGTTGAATGGGATAATAAAATAACAATCCTTGTTTAACAAATGCAAGAATTATTATATTAAAACATTCAACACAGAATTTTTATTTAAACAAATGAATGTATCATGAAGATAATCTGAATCATAGTTATTTAAGAGTTAGTTTGGTGATTTGGGGGTTTTAGCTTTTTTAATATAAGAAATATTAGCAATCTTATTACACATTATAGTGGAAACAGTACTGACAAGATGTAAGCACATATATATTGGTAATGCTGAAACAAAAATACTTCCATTATAAATCATCCTTTTTTTTCTTATAATTGTGCCAAATCAGCAATCTTTCTCACATGACCTCTTAAAAGTGTAAAATCTAGAACTGCCAATAATTATTTCTTCTTGTTATAACTGTTTATGAAGCTGTTTTCAATACAGAGAACTATAAACGAGTTAATACAGGTGTAAGAATGCTGTTCCAGGAGCTTCCCACTCTTGAGCATTGATGCAAGTCCTCTGGCATTGTCCCCATTTCGCCATTCATTGCAAAAGCTATTGGTCGCTCGAATACCTTGCGTGCTTGATCCATGCCACACTAACTTATGAGGCCTAGTGATGCAAAACAAAAGTAAAGCTCAACATTTCATGAATCCAATTTGAATCTTAATGTTTACTTTCTCTACCCTGATTCTTAACTGCTATGGGCGTTAACCTAAACCCCTGATTATTGAAATTATTGCAGTCAGATACATGAAGAATAATACTGCAAAGCAGAGAGCATCAAACTACTGAATCTATATATAATAATAATCCTTGCATTTGATATAGCGCTTTTCATGTCTTCTAGACGTCTCAAAGCGTTTCACAGAATAGACTGTAAAGTGAATTGATTGTATATTTGTGGGCAAATCACGGCAGCCAATTGCGCACAGCAGTGTCCCACAAACAGTTGTGGATTGAGTGACCAAATCATTATTATTAAGTGATTATTACCCCCGGAAAAGCGATCCGCAAAT